AAAATAAGGCCAAATACAAAGTTGAGAATGATCATAGATTTACACACCGACACTTACATAATACGTAGAAATATGCAAGTTTACATGAATTAAATATTAAGTAAACACCAATGATTGACTTTATGAAGTTTTACAGTTTTAGTGTTTTACTTAAGCAGAGAAAGTTAAAATGTTTAAAGGTTCAATGAAAAAAAACCCGTTTGCCAATGCCATAAGATAAACATCTAGAGACTAAGTTTTTTTTACCTATTCCGGGACAAATGAAGTTTTATTAAGGAAAGATTCGTACGAAGAACGAATCGGCGGACAAATGTTCATTTGTCGTAAAAAAGGTGAAACATTTTCATTGAAAACCCAAACTAAAATCCGGAAACAAAGGCGTGTGTGGATACATTTCTGTTTATGATAATGTAGTATTCGGTCATTTGGAACAGATTTAATTTTGAAATAGGACAGTTCACCTTCTTATAACCATGAATTGATCCAAATATATAGAGGACTCATATATTAACACACTGGAGTGGCCACCTCAAATCTTAACCAGGGGGCTTAATATTAGTGGTATGGCACACTTTTCCTCTAGAAATGCATCAAAAGTATTTTCTTTGGATTGGCAAGAATGTGATAGAATAATAGAGGCCGTTATGGTTAGTAGGGAAATAAATACTGTTACAACATTGAACGCACCCAATCCAATAGAAGAGTTTAATTCAAAATCGCTTCAGCTTTCACCATAGATTATCCAGGTAACGAGAATCGTCTCGCTGTTATAGCGCTATTTATGTAAATGTGAAATGAAAAAAATTTGGTATTTTCAAAACGCTCCGCCCGCTTGGGATTAGTTGCACGTTATTCCGTCGGTCGGGCCGGTCCACGTACAGTTCGAACGCCGCAAGTCATCACGCTGAATTTTCTCGAAATCCGCTCCGAGATACGAGTGTTACGCAAAAGTCCATGAGTGGAATTATTAAAAAAAAAACTTGAGAACTGGGGCTTTCAAACGCCGTATCGGATATTTGTTGACTGCAGCTTTGGAAAAAAAATAGGACAGAAAAATGCAAAGGCCTTTTGGTGTCACTCACTGATAACTTGCATAGGAAAATTTTTTTTCCCGGATTACAAATTTTACTGTGCCGTATATGCACAAAATACATATTTCTAGAGTAAAATATGAACATTTCATGAGGATCCTCTAAATTTATACTTAGACACGTAAAGTTTGGTGCCAGAACCTCCTTCGGCAAGAGGAAAAAATGTGCTCGTATGACCTCACTATGTAAGAGATTCTTAGATAACTTCGCAAACCCGGTATTGGCAAACAAATAGAATACAAATGTTCGTTTGACATATTTAACTGGAATAAAATATTAAAACAGATACAATTAATAGATTTTAATTTTCAAGCTCAATATTAAAGAAACGATGAAAATATAAACGCAAACCACAGAACAAAGAAATGACTTCATTAAGTAGAAATGTCAGCAAACAAATTTTCGCAATGCCAAAAGCGCACAACAACAAAAAAATAAATCATGCAAACACACAAACTTTAGTGCAAGGATGCGAACAAAAAAATTTATTAAATTTTGTTACTCATTTCGTACAATTAAAACCACAAATTACCATAGAATCGTTTTTAAATTGAACAACAATAAAAATAATAACCCACCCAAGAGAGTGGGCCAAAGCGGAAACAATTGAAGAAGAATGCGTTTATGCAAGCATTTATGTGTTTATGTGTATTAACAACAACAAAAAATATACAAATAAAAGCACAAACATTTGAACAATTGAACATATTGTATCTAATAATTACGGCTGCTAAATAATAATAGTGCCCGGAAAATGAAGAATAATAATTAAATAAATAATAAATGATTATGAAAAGTTATTGAGTCAACATTGTGTACATTCGCATATGTGTGTGTGTGCTTGTGTTTGTGCGCTACCCAGCAAAATGTATGCATTAATACCAAAATCGAGCAATAAAGCAGTAATGACTTATTCATCCATTTGGAGCGTTGATATGTTTTGCAAAAGTAGTCGAGCTAAGGATATGAATTCGATAACCTCGCTTTGTTCTCGTTTCAGAAGTCAAAAGAAGCTCAAAAAATATCACCTTTGTCCTCCGTTTGAAGGTGTGATCGCTTGTAATGTTAAAAAGGAATTTAAAGAGTAATTCATTACTCGCAAAGGATTAATCTAAGATTACACTTTGAATGATCCTACTTTTTATAGGGTAAATGGAATGCGTATTAATACTACAGTTTGCATTAACTTGTAACTAGTGATGTGGAGTCCACTAGACTCTTCTGAAGTTTTGAACTGCTATATTTTCTGTGGAGGTGAATTATCTTTAAATTCGGAATACCTTTACACAAAATTTACAAATACCATGCGATTCAGTCGGTTACGTTGCGAATAATTTGGCGTTCTTAGTTTATTGCCTTTCTTTTTTTACCTTCAGACGACCTTTTATCGCGTGAAATAAAAATTTAACCATGTTTCAAGGGCCACTACTCCAATACCTTTCTGTTTGGAAAACATATTTTTATAGGATTTTTAATTGGGAATAAATGGAGTTAGTAGTGTGTATGCAAAAAAAAAATCCATTTAACCACTTTCAGCAAATATAAAAGCTATCATGAGGGAAGTCTGACGGCCCCACGTCACTGTTTGTGTACGGTTTTTTCACGTCACTAGTTACGGGTAAACGTAGTACTTAGTTATTGGAAGCATATTGGGCTGCAGCATAAATTAAACAAAAAAACACACACACACACATAGTCAACACACCGGCAAAGCATCCGGCAAATGCAACAGATCTCTTTTTTTTTAATAAATTTAATTATTCGTATGCTGATGAAAACATGGTGCGAATTGAAAGCATTACTACAGAAAAATAAACAATAAACAAAAACAGAGAATATTTAAAATTTTCACTAATGAATATTTATTGTACGATTGTGAAAATGCGGAAACACAAATAGTATAATACACAACAAATGTGCATGTGTACAAGAATGTGTAATGTCATTGCATACAATTGGGTGTTTAAGAGGAAAT